GTGGTAAGACTGTTTAAATCTTTGTTATTCATCTGGAGCGTATTTGTATCACTGGGCTGTATTAAATTTGCTAATTGTGCAACGTAGGTCCACGTGAGAGCATGCAGGAGGAGGTAAATATGGTCGTGCACAGGGAGCTTTTGGAAAGCGCACTTTCGTAGTCAAAACGGATGCCCCGTTATTACGAAGATGTTAAGTCACTGCAAGAAGTGAGATACTGCTCCACGATGGTCCAGTTGCTATGGCTGCTAATGAAGCCAAGTTAAATGCAACTTCGTGTAAGTAAGGGTCTATCGCAGTCAAAAATGAATTATGGTTTCTAAAATGATGATAGACTTGCACTGAGGAATGAAGTCAAACTTGTTTTGATCTATACAGTAATTCCTTTGAGATATGAAAGTGTTCTTTCAATTAAAACTGCACTTGTCGTGCATTGTGACCTGCCCGGATGCAACGGCCGCATCTTCTTTGCAAATTCTGACGCTTACATTGCATCTGTGATGCTGATCGTTGCTTGCTTTCGGTTTGATATGATGGCTGTGAACTCACTCACGGACTCAACCACTTCTTACAATTAAGGACATCGATTACTGTAGCCGGAACATTTAAAATGACGGCCACTGCACGACATTTTGCGCAAAAAGGTTCAAATGTAAAAACGTGAGTAAGTGCCTTTCTACGCAGTATTTGTACCGACTATTTACTAGTCTCGATTAATAAAAAATAAGTGTGGGAAAGAGACGGGACATCGGTTTGATCCTCAAACTGCCTTGTCGTATAAAGAAGTGCCCACCACTGTCCATCATACGACGCTATCTAGTTGGAAAGACACGGGTTCGGCAAATACGCTGGAGGACACGGCTTCGGCAACTGCACTAGAGGACACGGCTTCGACAAAGGCGCAGGCAATGACAACGCCTTGCTACAAGAACCGGCACGAGAAGAGAAAGGTTCGATGCTTGTCATGAAGTGTGTAGCCGAGCTTCACATCTTCTTAGGTCAGAGAGAGACTTAGTGCTCAAAGAGCGATATTACATAAAAGAACTAGACTCTGTCAGTTAACAAGCGTAAATCGTAAGGTACCTGTTCCAAGGAACCGATGACTCAGTGAATCTACAGCACTTTTTGTAATCAAGAGTAGCTATCTCAGGAGGTGTTGCTAACGTTTAACGATCAACGATCAGATACGCCTCGCAAGGCACGTGTCTTAGACAAGACTAAAAGGGGAGCTGAACTTCTTTACGTCTAACTTTATAGAATGTCTCAATCCTAATATTACCTAATCTGTAGCGGAGCTACTTAGCGCTCCTTAACCGAGGAAGTCTTCGACTCAAAAAGTCTCTCAGTTATAACAACTAGCAACGACGTACAGTCGTTTAAGCGTACAAACTTAACAGTCCCAGTTCCAAAGGGATTACGATTCACAGAACCACACGCTAACAAGTCACTACTAACTAAACAAGAGCAAGCGCCTTTACAAGTCTAATGTCTTAACACTACACTATGCCTTGACTAGGCACTAGCGTTTAACGAATCGAAAGAGAAATTGTACTTTATTGATTTTTGAGCTACAATCATAAAACCCTAAAAGCTGTCTTACTGACTTCTACGTTGCGATCCAATGACAGAAGTCTTATTCCTTTATCCTAACCCGATAAGGTGCGGTATAACCATGAGTACGTAGTACCAATACTGTACCAATCAGGTCCACTGATCTTTACTTGGTGCGGACACACAACATAACCGGTTCAATCACGGCGTGTAACCCCGTTACATAATCTAGGCACTCAGGTCGACTGATCTTTACTTGGTGCGGCACATAACATAACCGGTTATATAACCGCGTGTAACTCCGTTAGAAAATTTAGGCACTCATGTCTAAATTGAGTATCGTTAAGATTTTTCTATCTTGTGGCTGATGTAACGGGGCACCCTGAAGCTTGTACTGGTAACAGTACAAGCTACTTATTCTGGTGACAGAATAAGGCGGTGCCTCGTAACTTCACGTACACTCGTACGTGCAGAGGAAGACGGTAAGAAGAAGCGAGTACTTGGTTAAAGTAAAAAGTAGAACTGTATTTATAATAGTTAATGTCTGCAATAAATCACTATTTATCTTCATCTAACTATGTCTGAATACAAATGTGTAAATCAGTTATCTGCTTACCACTCATTGCGTGCGTCTGTCGTGGCGCGTCTTCGTTGGTTGATATAATGGCCTATATCAACCAATTAGGAACTACTTGTAAGTGCTGCAGAATATTTGTCCTTATGACAATATTCTGAGAATATAACTCTTATAGTTATATTCTATTAACAATTTCTTATAAATTGTTATGTAACGATTCACCCCGCTACATCACCCCCCTTAACCATCAGTCACTTTAGTGACTGATTGACTAAATGGATACTCGTCTTAAATCAGTTGGGACAGGGTTTGCACTTGTTGGTCCGAGTCCACTTTCCAACATTTCATCGCATGGTTAACAAGCCCATGCGATGCACGAGCAAGGCCGCCGAGAGCGCGTCCGCGCATCTCTGTACGGACGCCGAAGCAGAAACAACAGCAACTGATGTCTCATCGGTTGCTGAAGTGACACAGGCTGAGTCGCTTACAAGCCCATGCGATGAAATGTTGGAAAGTGGACTCGGACCAACAAGTGCAAACCCTGTCCTAACTGATTAAGGACGAGTATCCATTTAGTCAATCAGTCACTAAAGTGACTGATGGTTAAGGGGGGGTGATGTAACGGGGTGAATCGTTGGTAAGAACGGTGTACGTCCTGATACCGAAAAGATCAAGGCGATCACCGACTGGCCTGTGCCGGTTGATGTCAAAGGAATTTTCGAACACCTTTAAAGGAATTTTCGAAGACCTTTGACATCAACCGGCACAGGCCATTCGGTGATCGCCTTGATCTTTTCGGTATCAGGACGTACACCGTTCTTACCAACGATGTACCCAAGAAGTGGTATTTCATTTGCTGCAAATATACACTTCTTGATGTTTGCATACAATTGATGCTTTCGCATGATTGTAAGAACCTGTCGGATGTGGTACCTGTGAACCTCAACGTCAGACTTTCCATCCATAGCTCGACTATGGATGAATACGCCATCGAAATAACTCGGCGCGAATTCTCGTACTGGTCTCAACAGATGTGATACACATCTGTTGAACGTGGCAGGGGCATTACTAAGCCCTTGTGGCATTACTAAGCCCTTGTGGCATTACTAGCCATTCCCAGAGCATGACGCTAGGCGTGCTAACTGCGGTATAGGGTATATCCCGTTCTCGCATAAGGATTTGATAGAAGCCATCCATCAAATCCATGGACGAAAAGATGGTACTCTTTGACATACCATCAATGATTACGTCCTTCCTCGGTATCGGCGTCTGAGCCGGTACCGTTGCAGCATTCAATTTGTTAAATGCATGCGCTATCCGCCACCATCCTGTTGCTTTTCGCACACAGAAGGTCGGAGAGCTATGTGGGGAAGTTGATTCCCTCACATGGCCCGCAGCTAAACGATCGGCAAAGAACTTGTCGATCGCAAGTACTTGTTCACGAGGCAGTGGCCACTGCTTCATGACACAGTACTTCGAACCTGGTTTAAGGTCGACCTCGTGTCGAATACCTTTATCCTTCGGTGATTCGCACGGAACAGTTTCAGGGAATACATCCTTGAATTCAACCAAATCTTCATAGAGAGGATTTGTCTTGAGCGATTCCCATGATGGGGAGTCATATCGCTCAATTCGTGTCTTTTCATCTAGGACACTCTCGTCCATAGATGAACTACTGAGAACTCTCTCGCTCTCAGTAAACACTGTTGCTGACCTTATGTCGGTTACACACTCGTCGTCAGCGACGAGTAAGCAGATCTTCTTGACTTTGCCACTACGCAAATCGCGCAAAAACCGTTTAGGTTCTAGCGTTGGCAATTGAGTGATCTCCGAAGTCAACTTCGGAGGCGCAATCAGATCAAGTGTATAAGCGCCTACACTTGATCCGTTATTGACTATGACATTCAATGTCTCTGTCATTTCCTGGGGACTTATTCCCTCAGGCCTCGAAGGACTTATTTCTTCGGCTTCCCGGGGACTTATTCCCGCGAGTTTCGGGGAACTTATTTCCGCCGTATTTGTAATCTTGGGACTTATTCCCTTTACTTCCTCTAGCTGGGGTTGCGCAACCACAGCGAGATCCTCTACGAAAGACTCTCCAGTCGATCTAGGATTATCGTTTCGCTTAACCTGAGCGATCGATCGTTTCTCTTCTAGATGTTCCCCGCTAGGGATACATCTTTGTCCCGGTCCACTCGACTTTTCCGAGTGGTGGACCTTCGGCGCAGCCTGTGTTTCCTCACAGCCGCCGAAACTTTGCTCCGAAGTGTAACCGTTTGTCACACTAAGGTTTTGTGCAGTCGTACTAACGACCGTACCACAGTGAGGCCATCGCACTCACTCGTAGTACATCCACAAGCTTGTGGACGCCCCAAAACGTTCATCAGATGGCCATCTGATGAACAAGCGGCAGGCATCGTTACTGTCCGATGTTGCCAGTTTACCCGTGGTTCGTACCTTCTGAGCCACGGTATTCCAAGGATGACATCAAATTTGTCATCCAAATCCAATACGATAAAGTCATCGTCGTATTGGGTATCTTCTAGCGTATAGTGGATCTTCACTATACGCTTCATGACGGTTACGGATGCGCCTGTCGCAAGACGTACCGTCATCCTCGTAGGAGGTGTGTCACATTCACTGAACTTAAAGTGGCCATCTTCTAGCGATTGGCGTCGCACAAAATTGTTGGACGCCCCACAATCGACTAGAGCTCGAAGGGACAACTTATTCGTCACTTCGAGTTTCAAGGTAATGAGTGAGATCTCATTACCTAGAGCAGCAACGCACAACGTTTGTGTGTTGGGAGCAACCTTCATCAAGAGGCCTACAAATTCTCTTGACGTTGCTGGACCAGTAGGGTGCTCCGCACCTACTGATCCTGACTGTTTTTTGACGGTTCATCCCGTTGTTGCGTCTTTGCACCAACAGCGGACCCGCGTCCCTGCCCCCTTTTCATGGGTGGACGGTCACTACGCCCAGTGTTGCGAGACACTGGACGAGGGGCACTACACTTGTAAGCGTAGTGTCCTGTCTTCTGACATCTGTTGCATTTCTGCAACTTCTTGTATTCTGTAGAGCAAGCCTTCTCGCTCTCTACATAACAGAGTTCCAGCGGCTCTGGACCTCCGTTGTCATATCGTCTCGGTTGACGATATGATGTCGAGATGGCGCGAGCCTGTCTCAGACTGAAGTCTTCCTGATCCGCAATGGAAATGGCTTGTTCTAGTGAATCTAGTTCAAGCCGGAACAGGTGAGTCTTGACGGGACCATCCGCAAGACCCTGCATGAACACCGAAACCAACGTGTGTTCATCAACCGGGTCGGAACTTATACAACTCGTGAGATGTATACGTTGCGCGTAAGCGTGCACATCACGCTTACCCTGCTTGAGCTTCAAGAGTTCGGTTCGAGCTTTGAACTCAGCTCCAGGCGGTTCAAACGTTTGTCTGAGCCGCGACTTGAAGACTTCCAACGACCCAAACGCATATGGGTCGTGCAACTTGAGCCCCAGTGCCCAAGTCTTGGCACGTCCTGCCAGATTTGATTGGGCAAATGCAACTTGCATATCCCCGTCGTCGATGTGACGCGCCCTTATGGCGTCATCCAATTCGACGAACCATCTCAAGAGGGAGTCCTCTTCGACTCCCCTATACTTGGATATGTCAATCGTCAATGTCTCGGGTCGACGCGAGTGCATCGACCCACCAGCTGCAGCCTGCTGCTGTCTCAACAGTTCAAACTGTTGAGCACCCTGTTCTCTCGACAACTCTGCTTGTTGAGAACCTTGTTGGTGAAGCAAGGCTACTTTCTCGCGTTCAGTGTCAAGTTCATTTTGAATGAACTTGGCGATAGTAGCATGTTAAGCATCTCTATTGAGAGCCTCTAGCATGACGCTAACAGCATGGATGCCCATGGTTGAACCCATCCGTTCAACCGCATCCCATTCGACATCGCTCAAATGGGAGTAGCCGTCACGCGTAGCGTAAAAGCTTTGGTCATTTTCGTCATCTAACATATTCAAGTTAGATGTGAACGTGGTACTTGGACGGACTACGAAGTGCTACCAGGTGTTATAGGGCACCCTGAAGCTTGTACTGATGACAGTACAAGCTACTTATTCTGATGACAGAATAAGGCGGTGCCTCGGACCTTCACGTACACTCGTACGTGCAGAGGAAGACGGTAAGAAGAAGCGAGTACTTGGTTAGAGTAAAAAGTAGAACTGTATTTAGCATAGTTAATGTCTGTTAATAAATCACTATTTATCTTCATCTAACTATGTCTGAATACAAATGTGTAAATCAGTTATCTGCTCACCACTCATTGCGTGCGTCTGTCGTGGCGCGTCTTCGTTGGTTGATATAATGGCCTGTATCAACCAATTAGGAACTACTCGTAAGTGCTGCAGAATATTGTCCTTATGACAAAATTCTGAGAATACAACTCTTATAGTTATATTCTAATAACAATTTCTTATAAATTGTTATGTAACGATTCACCCCGTTACAGCTGACGCCCGTTAGCCCGTGTCAACCGATAAGATTTTTATTCATCTTTTTGTGGGATATTATCTCGTGTGTCTAAGACACAGGGTACCGAGTATCCTACGATGTGTAATATCTTTGCAAAGTGGATCACGCGATAGTGGAGAAATAGGGACGAGCTGCAACGGCAACGTCGGAGGGATGCTGTAGACCAAGAGTCTTAACATCGGTGGCGTGTTGATGATCCGATATGACGGCAGCGGCTTGTGAAATACGCTCGCAGGAGAAAAGTCTTCGCCTACATTTCATGGACTCGATGAAGACACGAGAAGAGCACCGAAGAAGGTTGTGACACTTTGGTGGATGCGTTTGTTGCCGCCGATCTACCGCTCTGTTCTCTCGAAGCACGACGGTTGGCATTTTGTTGCTTTGTGGCGCCACCTTTTCAGGCTTGCACCTTGTGATTAAAAAGGTGGCGATATACCAAAACTCTGGGTTGTGTCTGTTCGGGTCATTTTCATTGTACGTTGCCCATCGCTTTGTAAATGTATTAATTTGAATCGTTTGTTTGGTTTTAATATTGCTGCACATGACGTGTGCACATGGTATGCCGTGAAACTCGCGCGTTGTTGCAGGAGCTGCACTATCAGAAGAGAAGAAGAACGGGCTTATCACATAGATGGTGGCGATAGATGTAACGGGGTGAATCGTTACATAACAATTTATAAGAAATTGTTAATAGAATATAACTATAAGAGTTATATTCTCAGAATATTGTCATAAGGACAATATTCTGTAGCACTTCCAAGTAGTTCCTAATTGGTTGATATAGGCCATTATATCAACCAACGAAGACGCGCCACGACAGACGCACGCAATGAGTGGTGAGCAGATAACTGATTTACACATTTGTATTCAGACATAGTTAGATGAAGATAAATAGTGATTTATTGCAGACATTAACTATTATAAATACAGTTCTACTTTTTACTCTAACCAAGTACTCGCTTCTTCTTACCGTCTTCCTCTGCACGTACGAGTGTACGTGAAGTTACGAGGCACCGCCTTATTCTGTTATCAGAATAAGTAGCTTGTACTGTCACCAGTACAAGCTTCAGGGTGCCCCGTTACACCTGGTAGCACTTCGTAGTCCGTCCAAGGACCAGCGTTCACATCCAACATGAATATGTTGGATGATGAAGATGACCAAAGCTTTCACGCTACGCGTGACGGCTACTCCCATTTGAGCGATGTCGAATGGGATGCGGTTGAACGAATGGGTTCGACCATGGGCATCCATGCTGTTAGCGTCATGCTAGAGGCTCTCAATAGAGATGCCCAACATGCTACTATCGCCAAGTTCATTCAAAATGAACTTGACGCAGAACGCGAGAAAGTAGCCTTGCTTCACCAACAAGGTTCTCAACAAGCAGAGTTGTTGAGAGAACAAGGTGCTCAACAGTTTGAACTGTTGAGACAGCAGCAGGCTGCTGCTGGCGGGTCGATGCACTCGCGTCGACCCGAGACTTTGAAGATTGACATCTCAAAGTATAGGGGGGTCGAAGAAGACTCCCTCTTGAGATGGTTCGTCGAATTGGATGACGCCATAAGGGCGCGTCGCATCGACGACGGGGATATGCAAGTTGCATTTGCCCAGTCAAATCTGGCAGGACGTGCCAAGACTTGGGCACTGGGGCTCAAGCTGCACGACCCATATGCGTTTGGGTCGTTGGAAGTCTTCAAGTCGCGGCTCAGACAAACGTTTGAACTGCCTAGAGCTGAGTTCAGAGCTCGAACCGAACTCTTGAAGCTCAAGCAGGGTAAGCGTGATGTGCACGCTTACGCTCAACATATACGACATCTCACGAGTTGTATAAGTTCCAATCCGGTGGATGAACACACGTTGGTTTCGGTGTTCATGCAGGGTCTTGCGGATGGTCCCGTCAAGACTCACCTGTTCCGGCTTGAACTAGATTCACTAGAACAAGCCATTTCAATTGCGGAGCAGGAAGACTTCAGTCTGAGACAGGCTCGCGCCAGCTCGACATCATATCGTCAACCGAGACGATATGACAACGGAGGTCCAGAGCCGATGGAACTCTGTTATGTAGAGAGCGAGAAGGCTCGCTCTACAGGCTACAAGAAGTTGCAGAGATGCAACAGATGTCAAAAGACAGGACACTACGCTTACGAGTGTAGTGCTCCTCGTCCAGTGTCTCGCGACACTGGGCGTAGTGACCGTCCACCCATGAGAAAGGGGCAGGGACGAGGGTCCGCAGTTGGTGCAAAGACGCAACAACGGGATGGACCGTCAAAAAACGGACAGGATCAGTAGGTGCGGAGCACCCTACTGATCCAGCAACGTCAAGAGAATTTGTAGGCCTCTTGATGAAGGTTGCTCCCAACACACAGACATTGTGCGTTGCTGCTCTAGGTAATGAGATCTCACTCATTACCCTTGAAACTCGAAGTGACGAATAAGTTGTCCCTTCGAGCTCTAGTCGATTGTGGGGCGTCCAACAATTTTGTGCGACGCCAATCGCTAGAAGATGGTCACTTTAAATTCAGTGAATGTGACACACCTCCTACGAGGATGACGGTACGTCTTGCGACAGGCGCATCCGTAACCAGTCATGAAGCGTATAGTGAAGATTCACTATACGCTAGAAGATACCCAATACGACGATGACTTTATCGTATTGGATTTGGATGACAAATTTGATGTCATCCTTGGAATACCGTGGCTCAGAAGGTACGAACCACGGGTAAACTGGCAACATCGGACAGTAACGATGCCTGCCGCTTGTTCATCAGATGGCCATCTGATGAACGTTTTGGAGCGTCCACAAGCGTGTGGATGTACTACGAGTGAGTGCGATGGCCTCACTTGTGGTACGGTCGTTAGTACGACTGCACAAAACCTTAGTGTACCAAACGGTTACACTTCGGAGCAAAGTTCCGGCGGCTGTGAGGGAAACACAGGCTGCGCTGAAGGTCCACCACTCGAATAAGTCGGGTGGACTGGGACAAAGATGTATCCCTAGAGGGGAACATCTAGAAGAGAAACAATCGATCGCTCAGGTTAAGCGAAACGATAATCCTAGATCGACTGGAGAGTCTTTCGTAGAGGATCTCGCTGTGGTTGCGCAACCCCAGCTAGAGGAAGTAAAGGGAATAAGTCCCAAGATTACAAATACGGCGGAAATAAGTTCCCCGAAACCCGCGGGAATAAGTCCCCGGGAAGACGAAGGAATAAGTCCTTCGAAGCCTGAGGGAATAAGTCCCCAGGAAATGACAGAGACATTGAATGTCATAGTCAATAACGGATCATGTGTAGGCGCTTATACACTTGATCTGATTGCGCCTCCGAAGTTAACTTCGGAGATCACTCAGTTGCCAACGCTCGAACATAAAAGATTCTTGCGTGATCTGCGTAGTGGCAAAGTCAAGCAGATCTGCATACTCGTCGCTGAAGACGAGTATGTAACCGACATAAGGTCAGCAACAGTGTTTACTGAGAACGAGAGAGTTCTCAGTAGTTCATCTATGGACGAGAGTGTCCTAGATGAAAAGACACGAATTGAGCGATATGAGTCCCAATCATGGGAATCGCTCAAGGAAAATCCTCTATGAAGATTTGGTTGAATTCAAGGATGTATTCCCTGAAACTGTTCCGTGCGAATTACCGAAGGATAAAGGTATTCGACACGAAGTCGAGCTTAAACCAGGCTCGAAGTACTGTGTCATGAAGCAGTGGCCACTGCCTCGTGAACAAGTACTTGCGATCGACAAGTTCTTTGCCGATCGTTTAGCAGCGGGCCATGTGAGGGAATCAACTTCCCCACATAGCTCTCCGACCTTCTGTGTGCGAAAAGCAACAGGAGGGTGGCGGATAGTGCACGCGTTTAACAAATTGAACGCTGCAACGGTACCGGCTCAGACGCCGATACCGAGGAAGGACGTAATCATTGATGGTATGTCAAAGAGTACCATCTTTTCGTCCATGGATTTGATGGATGGCTTCTATCAAATCCTAATGCGGGAACGGGATATACCCTATACCGCAGTTAGCACGCCTAGCGGCATGCTCTGGGAATGGCTAGTAATGCCACAAGGGCTCAGTAATGCCCCTGCCACGTTCAACAGGTGTGTATCACATCTGTTGAGGCCAGTACGAGAATTCGCGCCGAGTTATTTCGATGACGTATTCATCCATAGTCGAGCTATGGATGGAAAGTCGGACGTTGAGGTTCACAAGTACCACGTCCGACAAGTTCTTACAATCATGCGAAAGCATCAATTGTATGCAAACCTCAAGAAGTGTATATTTGCAGCAAGCGAAATACCACTTCTTGGGTGCATCGTTGGTAAGAACGGTGTACGTCCTGATCCCGAAAAGATCAAGGCGATCACCGACTGGCCCGTGCCGGTCGATGTCAAAGGTCTTCGAAAATTCCTTAGCTAGCGGCGTATTTGCATAAGTATTCACGCAATTACGCCGAGATGACTGTACACCTCTCTCGTTTGTTGAAAAAGAACGAGAGGTGGTTATGGAACGCTGAATGTCAACGCTCCTTTGAGGGTATCAAGCAGAGCTTGATACAATCCCCAGTCCTAGCAATAGCCGATCAGGACAGGCCATTTCATGTGGTCTGTGATGCCAGCGATTTCGCAATCGGCTGTGCATTAATGCAGTACGACCTTGAAGGCGTTGAACGCGTCGTCTGCTATCAGTCGCGTCAGCTGCAACCAGCTGAGCGGAACTATCCAGTGCATGACAAGGAACTCCTTGCCATGAAGTATGCACTCGCGAAGTTCAGAGTCTATCTATTAGGAGATAGACCCTTCGTTGTTTACACTGACCATGCGTCCTTACGCACGGCAGTGAACAGCCCGCACCTTTCACAACGAATGGCGCGGTGGTTGTCATTCTTTGCAGAATACAACTTTACGGTCGAGTACAAACCAGGACGACTTAATGTCGTCGCTGATGCACTCTCACGTCGTCCCGACTTTGAAACAGTCGCGAAACCCAACAGTGAGACAGTCACTGTTGCGGTTATGACGTCCTCAGTTCCATCTACAACGTTGTATGATGATGTGAGGCGGGCATACGCCCAAGATGGTGAGATAGTGAAGTTGTTGTCACATCTCTCCCAACCATCTCGAGAATCGTTGAAACGATTGTCGTCTCGCGTATCGATCTGCATCAGATCGATACACTACTCGTAACGGTTTACTGTACTATACAGCCGTTTCTGGTGACACACCACGTGTTGTCATTCCAGATGATACTGATCTGCGTTTGCGGATCATGTTCGAGTATCACGATGCTCCTATAGGAGGACATCGTGGCCGAGAGAAAACATATCTCACGGTAAGTCGAGACTTTTACTGGCCCCGCCAGTATCAGTTTGTGCGAAAGTATGTTCGCGCATGCGAAGTCTCGCCAACGAGTGAAGTCAAGTCCTTCACTGCGTGCACCTTTACAGCCTCTACCGGTTCCGGCTGAGTGCTGGGAATCCATCTCATCGGATTTCGTCTTCGGGTTACCCAAAGACGCACGCGGGAATACGGGTATTCTCGTATTTGTTGACAGATTCAGCAAAATGGTACACCTTGTGGCTGTACCAGAGACAATCACGGCAAGTGGCTGTGCTTGTGTCTTTATTGACACCATCTTCCGACTTCATGGGTTGCCCCGTGAACTCGTATCAGACAGAGATCCACGATTCACTGCTGATTTCTGGCGTTCCGTGTTCAAATCACTCGGAACGCGCTTGAAGATGTCAACATCTGATCATCCAGAGTCAGATGGTCAGACGGAACGTGCCAATCGTGTCCTTGAAGAGATACTTCGAGGATACGTACACTCCTTTAAGAGTTGGAGTGAGTTTTTGCCGATGGTAGAGTTTGCCATCAACAACTCGGTGCATGCGTCCACGACACATACACCGTTTTACGTGAATGGCTTGCGCCATCCGCGTGTACCCACCTTACTAGAGTGTAACTCTGGTTTAAGGGGGGAGGGACTCGCGCGAGCAAAAACCGATTTGGTTCACGCTCATCACGCTCTGACGAAGAAGTCATTGCGTTTGATGCCGATATCGATAACATCGATATCGAAGAAGATGATGCCAGTGAGAGTGCGGAAGCCCTCACTGAAGACAATGATCCCAGTGAGAGTGCGGAAGCCCTCACTGAAGAAAAGGTTGTTGTCGCTGCAGTGCGCTCACAGCACACTGAAGCTAACGAGTCATCAGATGAGTTCATACTGGCTCGTGAAACGGTAGTCCGTTTTGTGCAAGACTCCATCGCCGAAGCGGTGGATAAGCAAAAGCAAAACGCTGACAAGAATGGAAGGGCAAACACTCTTTTATTTAATAAAGGTGACTTAGTCCTACTGTCTACGGTTAATCTACCAAAACATGTAGTGACTAACTTGGGTAGCAGTAAACTACTACCCAAGTACATTGGCCCATTTCGTGTATTGCACCGCCTAGGCAATGCATACACGATCGAGTTACCACGTAAGATGCGAACGCATCCCACGTTTTACGTTGGTCGGCTTAAGCCGTACCATCAGTACGCTGCTTCTTCCGATGAAGAACGCCCTTGCGCTCAAGCATCTCGCAGAGAGCCTTGTGCTCCTGATGGTGGGCATCAACAAGGGTCTGAAGAGCAGTTATCTCAGCCTGAGACCGATCAACAATCCCACGAGCTACCCTTAGCTCGTCACGAAGAGATGTCAGAGATCTCTCGTTCTCAAGCTGAGCAAAGGCAAACTCAGCTCGATGCTTCGAGGCAGTGTCCACCATCTGGAGACGCCTATTCCGCTCATGCTCGAGATCGTCGCGTAACCCTTGCGTTACGCGATCAAAGAAGCTCTCGGGAACACACCGATCCACATGATCGTGTGGAGAGCGTCTTTCCTCCTCCTCCACCTCCATTAGAGGACTCTCGCGGTGGCCAGCGCTATCTAGTAGAGCAGCTGTTGAACCACCGCGACGTGAACGGACGTCGGACGAGTTACCTCGTCCGGTGGCGCGGCTATCCCCCGTCCTGGGATTCTTGGGAGCCCCGCTCCCAATTGATGGTTGACGTACTGGGTCTGGTCGAGCAGTACGACGCGACACATCCTGTGCCGCAGAAGGACCGCCGGAGAAAGTCTTCCCGGCACGGTCGTAAAGGGATTTCAGGTTGTCAATCCCTTCGTACATCTCAGTAGAGACACGTACGCGCCACCACGGGCTGGTAAGGAGGTAAGCCTCCTTAGGTGCTCGTGCAGAGTTGTTCACACAACATGGGCACGAGTCTCCCCAAGAGAGGCAGGGTAATCCTTTCTCCCTTGACAGACGATGCAGCTTGTAGCGTGCACCTGTCGGGGTTCGCTTTTCAAACTTATCACGAGCTTTGATAAGTTTGTCGTTCCAAGCGTCACGACCTACATCCTCGAGATTATGGATGTAGGCGTTCCACGCCTGAAGTAGTGAGGGACCATCACGTTTGTGATTCCCACTGTACCATCGATGTCTGAAGAAAGCATCGATGAAGAACTTCATGTTCAGCGCGATAGTCTTTCGCGCTGGGGTCAAGGTGATGAATCCTCGACGAATCGAACAATCGTGTCTCGATAACGATCACTCGTCGTCGCCGACAAGTGATCCATGACAGATTTAGGAGGCATCCATGCCTTCTTTTCTGGAGCGAGACGCAACACATTGCGGTCCCGCTCTTCCTGCGACGTGCCGACAGAAGTACTGGCACCTCGCTGTGAAGTGGTGTCCATTGGAGAAACGACACCACTATTAGCGCCCGAGTCTCGCGACCTCGAGCGCCTTCGCTTCGGCGATGGTTCATCTGACTCATCAGATGAACCAAAGATGCTGCGACGCAAAGCATCGTCCATGCCACGCTTGGCAGGCGGCTTGGATTCAATTGCCGTCGATACGGATCCGTCATCCGTATCAGGAGAGTACGAGACACCGAGCTCGTACTCTGTGAAGACACGAGTGTCTTCATGACCAGCGCCTGCATCACCAGGTGATACAGGCTGAGTCGATTCAGCAACCGATGGGACATCAGTTGCTGTAGTTTCTGCTTCGGCGTCCGCACAGAGACGTGCAGACGCGCTCTCGGCGGCCTTGCTCGCGCATCGCATGGGCTTGTTTACCATGCGATGAGATGTTGGAAAGTGGACGCGGACCAACAAGTGCAAACCCCGTCCCAAATGATTTGGGACGAGTATCCATTTAGTCAATCAGTCACTAAAGTGACTGATGGTTAAGGGGGGGTGATGTAACGGGGTGAATCGTTACATAACAATTTATAAGAAATTGTTAATAGAATATAACTATAAGAGTTATATTCTCAGAATATTGTCATAAGGACAATATTCTGTAGCACTTCCAAGTAGTTCCTAATTGGTTGATATAGGCCATTATATCAACCAACGAAGACGCGCCACGACAGACGCACGCAATGAGTGGTGAGCAGATAACTGATTTACACATTTGTATTCAGACATAGTTAGATGAAGATAAATAGTGATTTATTGCAGACATTAACTATTATAAATACAGTTCTACTTTTTACTCTAACCAAGTACTCGCTTCTTCTTACCGTCTTCCTCTGCACGTACGAGTGTACGTGAAGTTACGAGGCACCGCCTTATTCTGTTATCAGAATAAGTAGCTTGTACTGTCACCAGTACAAGCTTCAGGGTGCCCCGTTACAATAGATGTCAATGCAAAGTGAAAGGGTGACCTGGCTTTTCGCTTGCCCACGTTTAGCAAACAAAAATCTAGACTAATATAGCCGATGCAAATCGTGCATAGAATGGTACTGACTCTCGTTGTTTTATGGCAAACCTTAGTTATTCAGAATCTCCCAATTTTTACACATCGATTTAAGAATCCTTCGAAAATTGCGGGTACATCACCAAATCGCGTTGCCAGCCCAGCCCACCCATATGTGACACATGTGGTGCATCCTGGACACGATTCAACTGTCGCAACGATTGTAGGATCGAGGTGCATCCAAAGGACACCTTTCAAATGTCGCAACGATTGCAGGATCGTATATGCTTGTCCACCGCTACTTCCAACCTCTGAAAGCGGATCGTCGCTATGGCTCGATGTCGACCAGAATCGGCTTGCACTGAAGCGTTGTGATACCAACAGCAAAATGGAGAGCAAAGCCGTAAGGTGTTGCGTGTGAGGTTAAGATCTTGCATGATGTCTCTCGCTTAGATGACGAATATTATTCACCGTCACTCTTTTTTTGGTTCTTGGTCGATGGCTCGACAACAAGAAGTTTGAATTTTTGAGGACTAGACGTGTGCTCGTTGCGTTTTGATCTTACGAATCTTCGATACGTGTACATATACGTTCAAGCTGAGATATCTAGTAAGGCTGTTACGAACAGGTCGTCCATCTAAAGCACTCGAAAGTACTCAACGTGTCGTCGACAAGGCATCGAAAGTAGGTAGAGCACGTTAAGCTGTCTAGGATGAAGTGTCCACACATCTGATACACGTCGTGGGGATGAAATTCCATTAGCACGAATCACGTGCTGGTGCCGCGCAAAAGGAAAATCTCAGATTGCTTAAATGCACATTCGAGATGTTTAACTACAACGCTGCTCCGTCTTCCTTCTACGATCTTTGGCCGACGGGAGATGCTTGCAGCGCAAGCAACACTATGAAGGGGGAGAATCGCAAAAGGATCAATAACGGCATCGTGATCGCAAATTCTGGCGCTTGCGTACTCGATGTGAACTGCATCCGAGTCTCAATTGATCGCAAACACCAGCGAAAGTAGGTAGTGCTAGGCGCGCGCATCGAATAGCATTCGATACGCTTGGAGCGAAAAGAAAATATGTTAATAACGAATGCATGTCTTCAAAAGTGAGCACATAAGTATCATCGTTGCTCACTTCGTGGGTATGTGCTGGCAGGGGAAGTGAATGTGGTCACGCAGTTCGATCACGCTGACCCACCGAGAACAATATCATTCAGACTAATCTGATGAACGTATTAGAGCGGGTAGTCCACGGCCCCTAACTAACATCCGACCTTTTCGTTGCTACGTTGCTGTTATTTTCCGGATGTCCGACCTGTAAAGATCAATTGAACGAATATTTTCATCAACATAAGTGACAGGCGCTTTTGTGAACGGGCTGGGAGGCGGTGGGGAGAGCGTAGGTTCGTCGGGAGTGTGAATCGTCACGCGCCGGAGATACCGGCCAAGCAGCGTCTTCGGATTTACCATATGCTCCCGGAGGACTTAGAGGCTGGTGTTGCGGTTTGGAAGCGTCTCTGGTTTATTATGAGCAGCATTTGTCTGACCCACTTATGGAATGAGCGGAACGACGCGGTTTTTCGAGGAGTGCAGTCGACGCCTCTCCACAGCGCCGCGCGTTTTTGGGCGCTGGGAATTCGACATCTTACCGCATTAGCGAAACGCGAACATCGCGGTCCCGCCACAGCTGTCGCCGGGGCTATCATGCATACCTGTATCGACCTCTTTATTCTCGAACCTCGGGATGGGCCGATACCTTTAGGTGACAGCCAAGACAAGCTACCAGTTCCGGAGCTATTGTCCTGGCTTAGAAGTTTTCAGACATCTTTAGCATAATCATATGTTAATAGACGGTCATGAAATCATCATCAAGTGACAGGCGCTTTTCTTTGACGATGGTGTGATTGTCTCAAAGTGCGTCGTTGGGATCACGCGAACTGGCAATGGACAGCGGGAAGCAGATCCACGTTGTCGTCAATGGGGGGCACATGCGAGCTACTTCCAACTGAGGCACCTCTTTTTCTGAAGGATCAAATGGAAGATAGTGTGCACATCAGCTTCTATTTCATCCGTGCTTCCAGCCGCCTACTGGTACTACTGCGTAGACACCCTTCCTTGCATCTGCGAAAAATTCGCCAGCTGGGCGAAGGCAGCAAGGAAGCTTACATGCCAGGTCTTACCCGAGCTTTGCTTGCATAGTAACCGTCAACTGTCGTTTTGACACTTGTTACGAGAGCAAGACATCTGCTGCACGTAGCAACCCACCATGACCATTTAAACAGCCTTTATCTACTGCACGACAATTTTTGAGACTTCGTGCTTCACGTAGTTGACCACAGATGCTGCACACGGTTGTCGAGACACGTACCCAACAGCATCTACCGTGATGGTTGTCGATAATTGTCCGATTCGGTGTTTCCTTGTGCACCCGTCGCTGTTACAAAGTACCGGGATACACGTGTTTTTGCAAACTTTTATGGTCTCGCTAGTAGATAGATCAATGATCGAGCAATGTGCCGAGATGGTTCTCATGAGGCAAAGGAAGGAGGAACCTATACATGTCTGAATGAGAGGTCTCTCACGTATGGTGCTGTCTCGCTTGACTTTGACAAAAGCTAATTGGAATTCCGCGGTATCGTCAATGCTCCTGCTTGCTTACGCAGTGCGTAAAAGCATCCATCACACCAAAGCATCGAGCTGCTTGTGCAGCCTTCTAACGCTTAGTTAGGTGTTGTAACAACCAGTTGCCATAACATGCCAAATTCCCTGTGTCATCTTGTACCCCATCCACTACAAAGCAATGTGATGCTTCGGGTGCGAGTCGTAGGCTGCGCAGCAGCCTTCGCACGTCATTTACCCAATTACACTGAGAAACAGCCATACCCCCAACTACCGAATTCAACAACATCATTTGTTCAACACCTCAGGATGGTTGAACGTATCGCAAAGATCTCTACAGGAACTCAGCTCTCTTCGAAACTCTAGCGTAATTTGCCCTTGTGGCGTAACGCTTGCGTGCTGATGTCTTACGCGACACGCCTACGCCAAGAGTGTCACGAAAAAACGCTAGGAAAGGCGAACACCGAAGGACATGGTCAGTATCGCTCGCAGGCAAGTCTCGAAGTGTGTTCGCCTTTCTTGAAACGATGTGCTCTCGTATCTCTTTCGCGAATGCTCGCTCACCTCCCTCACTGATGGACGATAGATAGCACACCGTCAGAAAAGGATCAAGTACTTTCGGGGATTGCACGGTAACACGCACTTTGCACAGCACTTTTTCGCCACTTAGCTCGACGTGACAACAGCTGTTGTCACACCACGACAGCCACACTGCCTTTCTTCCCGTTTGGAGGCCTCGAGTTGCGCTGGCTGTGCAGGAACCATCTATCGACCTCAACGGTTTACTAACGCTTGTTTGATCCAACAACTAACGTAAAAACGTACTAATGCTTCGACTAACACGCTTAATGCGCCACCGAGAGATCCAGCAGTCAAACACTCGTTTGGACCGCCAAGCGACCGTTTTCGTGCTTACGTCAGGCTCTCCATGGCAACAAAAGATCATGTAACGTCTTCACGTGTGTCCAGAGACAGAAGATCGGTTATAAAGCAAGTCCAGGCATGGAAATGATCGACCGATATACAGATGAAAGTTCGAGACCGTCATCAAATGAGGTTTCGTGATCTAACGTCCTTAAAAGACTCAACGTACCATGATAGAGCGCATCTTGTTAGACTCACAGCCTCTTCTTCCAGGCTGCTCTGCTTACACGCCAGACGCTGATGACTCTCCCGTTGTTCAAACTTCTCCGTGATCTCCAGCGCGCGGTCGGCCACAAATTCCAAACAACTATCCGTCCATTTGTGGAGATGGTACGAGTCCTGTTCAGTCCCATGTAAAAGCTCTGCTGTTTTGGAAAGTTCGCTGCCAGTCTGAAAGACCTTTACATGGTCCAACTACTGCATACGGTACTTCCTTCTGCTGAGGATCTTCAATCCCTCGCTCTGACAGCAAGTGTACAGCGCCGTACTACATGCACGGTCGAGCGTCTATCTCTCCCACAAAGCGCCTATCTTCGTCCGTTGTAGTCTCGAAGTCACAAGCGCTCATTCGGCCTTGTCCATGACCTCGTCGAGTCGATGACAGAAATCCAGCGGCAATCTCGCGTGTGTGATCCAATTTCTATGGACCCAAGCTTTGCTGCGCCACAAGTGATAGTTTAGCTGCCCGCACGACAAAAGTCGAGCAGCTGGATCCGCCATCGCGCTCGCACGCCACAACTTGCTCCAGTTCAAGCAGATCTCTCTGGCATGCTAGAGGCTCTTGTCGCACCAGCACCTCAGGCTGTCTGCACGAGCAAGTGTAAAGTCGTCAGCTGGCTTGTTTTCCATCGCAATCAAGTTCCACAGGGTATCAGCCTTCCGCAGTCTCTTTTCCTTACATTATCCACCTTAGGCACCCCCACCTCACCTCAACATATGCACTCTCACCGTCCTTTCGATGTATCGCAACCACCGAGTCACCGACCCGTCGCGCTCGGGGTTGCCACTGGACTGACTCTCGACGAGTCAGTTCAGCTGGCGCACGGACCGTTACATCGCCTTTCGCGGCTGTCCTTTATGCCGGTAAAAGGCGTGCCGTCGTCTGTTCGTGCACGCGCCCGTCTGTCCAAACGTCCTTATACCGTCGTGCCAAAGAAAGAAGTCGAAGAACGAGAAGTAGCGTCCGAAGAGTCTCCAGTCATTGTACAATCTGCTCACTTGCTACGCCGGACTCGCCCTAGCACCTCCCACCTCTTCAACCGCTTTCTTCAGTCCCCACGTCTCGAATGGTGAAGGTCAAAATGCCGCTCGCGGTTGTGTTGACCACGTGCGTCTTTGCAGCTGCCGCGACGGCCGAGATCGTTGAATTTGTCAACAAGTGCTCGTTCCCCATTGAGCTCTTCCACAGCCAAAAGGGCTCGGCCGCGACCAAGATCACGGACATTCCCTGTGGCGAGAGCTTTTCGAAGGAAGTGTCGGGTCCCGCCCACATGTTCCGGCACTCGGCCAGTCCGTCGTCGACGTTGGTCGAACTCGCGTGCGACGATTGGTTCTGGTTTGACCTCAGCGTCATCCCGCCCATGCCGGGCTGGTGTACGAGCTACGAAGACTGCAAGGCCGGGGGCAAGAAGGGCTTCAACGTTCCTATTTCCATCAAGCCAAAAGCTAATATCGGCAAAGGCACGTGTGCTTATCTCGAGTGTGCCGCTGACGACAAGGAGCTGTGTGCTGACGCATACCATTACCCCATGGACAACATCAAGACGCACAGCTGTCCAGTGGGCACGGGTTTGGAAGTCACCTTTTGCTATGACGGCTCGGACGGCACGGGCAACAGTGGGGACCAGTACACGCACCAAGAGCCTGTGCCTTCCCACAAGCAGGGTGTACCGGAGCTACCGGACATCGCAGAGCAGGATGAGCCCTTGGATCCAGCTGTTGTGGTAAACGCCACGATAGGGCTCTCCCCTGGACCTTTAGCTGCGTCGAAAGAGGACGATAGCGAAGACGTGACCCAGCAAGACCCGACCCAGCAAGATCCTAGTCAGGAGACCCCGGGTCTTGGGGAAGTCAAGGTCACGTACTCGTACAAGGGCGAGTTTGCTGGCAACGTACCGGGATCGTACGACCGCGTGGTTGAGTTGCGGGAGTGTGTGAAAAAGTCCGTGAGTATCCAAAGTCCAGTGGGTCCAATGTCCGAGCCCGTGTCCATGATCTTCCGTGCTCCTATGGTGATTGAACACATTTCCGTGTTTGTCGCTGCCGATGGCAACGGAACGTGGAAGCGCGACTCGTTCTACTCGCGCAAGGAAGGAGTGGTGGAGAACATGGTGTTTATGAACAACATGAAACCCGACTACTCCGGGAAGGGTGCATTCGGGCCGCAGTCGTTTGCTTCGGAAGATGGCAAGTCATGCGCGGATGAACCGACGGTGTTCAACGGTTTTCTTGAAGATGCGTCGAGCCCGTCGACGGTTGGCGGCGGCCCGGGCATTTCGACCGGAACGGAGATCAACATTGTGACGGCCAAGAAATGCGATAGCGAATCGTGTCTCGGTTTCTTTGGCGCGAATAACTACCAAGGCTGGGGTGGTGGCAAGAAGGCGTTTGTGACTGAGGTTATGATGCCCGTTGGTCCTACAGTCAACCAACCGGCGATTTGGATACTTAATGCTCAGGTGATGCAGTCGAATCAGTACCAATGCAACTGCCGCGGTATCGGTCCAAAGGGTGGCTGTGCTGAACTCGACGTTGCTGAGGTGATTGAGACGAACCCTGCGCGGGACATGGTGACGACGCACTACTATTTCTACGACGGCACGATTTTGAGCCCGAAGGGAGACAACTTTGCGCCTCGCTCGTACGACCAGACCACGGTCTACGTCACGCTCATTGATGACTCGAACGAAGGTCTCATTAAGATTGTGGAGCTCGCGAGTTTCGACTTTTCGACCACGGACTTGGGCCCGCTGTACCAGCAGTTGGTGGACTGCTAAGCTATTCGGGCAACGAGGTTTGACTTCGTTTTTTTTCAGTACATCAACCGAGACACGTTGACGTGATAGACAAGGATAGCAGGATGCCGTCGTGGTCTCAGAGTAGGTTTGTCTATACGCAGGGAAGGTCACTTTTCCTAATACACGAGCCATTTTAATGCATAAACCAGCGCTCTTCGTCTTTCGCTTGAAACTTCCTGACATGTTCGATTTCCACCGTTTTCTTACGCCCTCGCTAGGTTTTGTCCTGATCCTCTCTCCATCCTAACGTTCGTTATGCAGAGTTTCTAAAACTTACCACTCTTCTGATGAATACGTGGCGTCCGCGCAGGTACGATTCGTGAGCTAATGTAGCAGTTACGGGATTCATCATATTGCCTTCAGCGCACTTTAAAGATACGCACCGAGTCAAAATGAAGCTATAAAGACACTTTCCCCACACCGCTTCGGCAATTGTGCTCAAGTTTCAGCTTATTCTATGCATGGTGTAGAAGATGTGGCACGAGATCACGATAAAGCAAGTCTTATGGCATAACGCCATGCTGCGACTCGTTGTTTCAAGTTTCAAGTGAGCGACGAGGCAGCAAAAAGTTCAGATTCTGCATTTGATGAATGAAGTCTGAACGTGTCGGATATCCGTCCTCTTACACCACGTCGATTCTACACAAGCACCACTCTCTTGTTCCATGCGCTATCCAAGCTTCATCCCACACGTCCCGCCTTCCTCCTTGTCAAGAGGTTACATGGCGGGAAATTCAAGCAGGAACTCCTTGCTGATCTCAGCCAGCTCGTCGACGACCTCAACAAGTCCACGGTAGAATCCTGTCTCATGGAAACGCATGTCGTACTGCTTGCAGAGCGACTTGACAAGCGGATTCACTCGCTCCAGATTGTGGCGCGGGATCAAGGGGAACAAATGGTGCTCCACTTGGAAGTTCAGGCCGCCACAAAACCAGTTGATGAACAGCCCCGGCGTAATGTTACGTGTCGTCGTAACTTGTAGCTTCCAAAAGTCCGGTTTGTCTTCACGTTCGTACACTGACATGCCGTTGTGACCAACACTAAAAACTGCCGCGAAAAAGCCTCCGCACGACATTTGTGCGACCAGAAAGAATGCCAGACCCTGAGCAACGGACATGCCCGTGAAGACCGGCAGCAGTATGTTCCAGATATAGTGCAAGACGAGGCCCAGTTTCTCGCCATTTGGAAGGACAACCGGATCGTATTTGCCAAAGGCAAAGCCGTCAAACACGTAGTAATAGCTTTGCAGCAGCCAACTAAATCGAGCAAAGAGCAGAAGTGGAAAGTAGATCACGGCTTGATGGCTCACGAAAAATGGTCCCCAGCTCGACTCGTACGCTTTTGAAGCCATCTGCTTGCTCCAAGCCAGCAGAGGCATTGTGTCAATGTCAGGATCGCCCAGGTATTCGGTATTCTTGTCACCAATCAAATTGGGCACGGCATGGTGAAAGTTGTGCTTGTTTTTCCACCACTGAATACTGAAGCCCATCCAAATATCGCCAATAATCACACCCATGACATTGCCGATCATATGGTTCTCCCACACTTGATGGTGTAAAATATCGTGTGCAAGCCATCCCGACTGCTGCCAGAACAAGCCCATGATACAAGCCGCAAGTATGTACAGTGACCAGCTGTCCGAGTGGTAACACAGGGCGACCGAAGCCATCCAGAGCCCAAAGGTGCTCAGGATCTTCCACGTGTAGAAGACCAGACTGGCATCGTAGAGCCCCATGCCTTTGATTTTCATCCGTAAGCGACGGTAGGCAGTGATGAACTCGTCCGTCTTGGCTTTCTCCGCTCGCTGCTCGTCAGTAAGAGCCTCAAGGTTCAGTGCAGAGCTCTCGTCCACGTCACCAATGTAAAACTGCTCCAACAGTTTCCATGAACTTGTCGGGTGGCACACTGTAAATATATCAGTCGCATCTTCTCCTGCTTGGGATAACATGACCATGCCCCCTGGATGCGAGTCCCACTTGCTGATGTCGTAGACCTTGTGGTGGATGACGATCCACGCATTGTCGCTTGTTGAGTGCTGCTGCACTTCTTGCCACGAGATCAGCTTGCGATTCGTCTTGACGCCGTCCACCATGACTGGAGTTCACTATACTGGAGAGTCCGAAAAAGGGATGAGCAATGAGGGCGAGGCACGAGATAGAAAAGAGACCAAAGTCGCTTCTCGCACAGCTGGGAAGTCGGAGACTGGAGCTGCTGAAGCTGTGGTGGGGAGACGTGGGTATACTGAACACAAGTCACGCGGGACACGTCGAGCGGTAGTGGACGGATGCAGTATCTATACATATATTCAGATTGGTGCTTTTTACACGGGGCTGGATAGAGTGTGGGGGATGGTCATGACGAATCGAGCCAATCAAATTCGTCGAAGCGAGACGAATGAACGAATCGCAGTGACGTCATCAGGTGGAATACAGTGATGCGGTCATCCGAGCAAAGTCTCCTGTGACAATGTGGTTCAGACCAACATACGGATCATGTAATCGGTGCGATTGCGCTACGATTCCTCTTGTACACATCCTGCACCCGCATGCGCTCGGCCGTGCTGATACTAATGTCACGCATTCTGGACTACCAGAAGTCAATTGTCAAGCTCTTTGTATGAGCGTAATGGTGAGTTGTTCCTTTCCGTATGGCGCGGTCCTTCATATCGAGTACAAGTTTTCCAAATTTTATTCGTGAAGCCCGAAATAGCATCTTACGTAACAACTCTTCTAGTCACGGAGTGCATCTTCTCCAGCTCGTGCATTTGCCGACGCAGCATCGATCGCATTCCGTTTTATCTCTCGAGGCAACATGTAGTACCTATAATTCAGCTGGGATACGACAAGATTGGAGCTCGGTCGGAGTTGGTAGATGCGGTGGAAAAATCACTGATTGCAAGCCCGACGGGTAAAGCTATCAGTGACTGTGCGCAAGGTGAACGCCGAGCTTTTCAACACCTACTATTTTGCTAGTGCGTGTGGGTGGCTCTGTATGTAAAAAGAGTGGAGTACATTTTAAGCAGTCGCTCCTGTGCACTACTACTCTGTCCCATTTGTTCATGAATTATAACATTTTGTGTAGACCACATGAACTATTATGATAGGCTAAATATTACAATCTATTTTGGTCTGGTTTGTGGCATTTCATCATCACAGAAGGCTATTTTGAGGCATTGGTAGTGAGCGCTCGCCAGCGAAAACGAAGGTGACAACAATGTCAGCTGCTGCATGTTAAGGTCATTGATCGCTTCTAAACTTAATTGTTATGGCTCTTTTCTTTAGATCGAATGGCTAATCTGAGCCTTGAGTAGGAATAGAATGACATAAATACTGTTTTCTATTGGTTAGTATCATCAGAATTCGACTATTTCTTGACACATTCCACGAATTTAGGATGTAAAAACTTTTTTCAATTTACATAAATTATGCAGTGTTCAATTTTAATACTGCTGATTGTACTATCACGCTGCTTTCTAGATGATTAAAACTACTTGCTCGAATAAAATTTAACACATTTTGACTTCTCTACGTCAAAAAACTAAAACCTATGAGAAATGATCAAGCAAATACCATGTTTTGAATCTGGTTGTAGTTAAATGGCCTTTTTTTGCAAAAATTTGCTTTAGAAGGAGTTCTTTACGCTGGTCGTATTTTTGTAAAAAGTACAGGCTTTGTAAAAAATGTGACTGATCCGCGTGATAATCTATAGCAAAGTGAAAAGAGTAGTAAAGGTCCGTAAGTATCGCCAGGTCTTCGTTACGCGTTATAATAAGTGAGATGTATTTGAATATTAATTTGTGAGAAGGTTAGACATACCTTTGAGTCACACCAAGTGCGATGTTTCATGTCGCTCTTCATGAAGAAATATTATTATAGGTATCACTCTTTGATCAGGTCACAATTTGTGATGTGGTAAAGGATGTAAGTAAGACGCACACCAATGCCCGCACATGATCGGCCCAAAAGTGACTCAGAGTCAACAGAGAGCTAATTAGCAGTTGCGCGACATTTAGGGCAGTGGTATCTCGTACCCCGGCAGAGTAAATGTAAAGCGGTTTTTCTCCGTAGTTCTTAGAATATCAGAGAGAGTGAACGGTCATGAGTGCGATTCATCTCGTTAGCACAAAAACATCCTGTGTTTTTACTTTTCAGTATCATGTGTCAATAGTATGTCGTCAACTGCACTTTTTCATACATGGCGTTGCCTAGTAGTCTAACTTACCGTATTTCTGGTCTCATATTTTTTAATTTAAATATCAGCAACATCAAAGAGTAGCTTTGCCACGCACTATACATTGGCTATTTTATCAATTGGCACGCATAGAACAACTTGTTCTTTTGCCACCAAGCAGACAGATTGGGTAGGTGAGTCTTTGATATTTGATTTAGTTATCTAAATTCAATATCTTACTTTTAGCGAGCCCGAAGGATGGAGCTATTTAGTGATGCAGGGTAAATACCAAGATTCAATACCTATTCTTTGTATTTCTGTCTGCCTCACTGTTTAAATTCATAGATTTTACGAGGAAATATTGGGGCTAACGCTTGCACCATCCAGGCACTTCCGCACACGACGGATGACGAGCCTATAACGCGAATAAATGGAGGCATGCTGACGGCTGTAGCCGGTCATTACCTGTCGGGGGTAGAAAAACGTGTTTACTCAGCAGACAGGAGGGGAAACCGAGATATTGCACGAGCCTCAGTACTGTGATGCCGAGCAATGACCGGTGATCGTGGCGATCGTGTCCGTATAGAGAAATACCTCTTTCACTACCATAGTGGAATATGCAACATCTGTTTTGGGCATTATGCCTCTTTCGGTATACCTTTAACTACCATAAAAATGGCCAAGATACCTAAGTGGAGAGAGGTTCAGTGCACACTTCTTAAACAGAGGGGAGGCCGCCGGGCGTCAGTCAATCTCGTAGACGCCACTTGTCCCACAGAAGATCTGGTTGCTATGTGTCACGCCCTAACTGCGGAGATATAGGAATGCAAATGGCGATCTAACCGGTATTTTGGCAGTTATAAATTCTAGATTTCATCGGGGTAAAATGCGCAAAAGTGACAATTCGAATGGAAAGACTCTTACCTCATAATGAGTTCTTCCTGGAGATGAAACACGCGACTGTGTCGCTATCATAATCTATGGTGCTCTCAACTCGCAAAATGTCTTCCAATGCATCAGAGGAATGCGAACACTTAGCCAGTGATGCGCAAGGTGTCGCTAACACAACCGTAAGGTTATCGGTTGTAGCAAAGCCCTCTCAATGAGAATGGTGACAAATTTCAATTTGGGGTATCGACAGTTTGCTGCGAGAGGGTGTAATGGAGTTACACAAATGATTATGATAATCCTGCAAGTCTAGTATGTTATACACAAAGATATTAGTGGTCCTGATGTGAGTATTATCGTATTACTCACCATAAGCGGTGATGCTGTCCCTTATCGATTTACGGTCGATGTCACCTATCGTGTCCGGATCTTAAAACCACGGCATAGTTCTGCGGAGGTTACAAGACAATAGCATTCATGATGCTAGTATTTTAGAGAGCGAATTCAAAAGTTAACTATGTTAGTAAGGTTTTAAATCGCTATAAAGTCTTAAATATATTCAATTACCCTTTCGGTCAGTTTCAAAAACGTGTCTTCATCTCAGACGTCTTTGAAAGTTAATCTAAAAGTGCGAGTTGAGGCTAAGTTACTCTTGGCAGTAGTGCCACGTGATTCGTTGGAGTCATTGTCCTCTGAACCAGGACTAGAAGCTTAATTTTTTTAGATACTTGGAGTTTTGTCTCACTAAGTCTGTAAATACTTGAGACCCTTCAAGTTACTATCCATTTAGTTTAATGCACTGAGAGTCTCTACGAGTCCGTAAGTCGTCCTCTGAACATCGAATAAGGGTGGCTTCGCTAAATTTTATCAAAGTAAGCGCCATCTTATTCGTCTTTTAGCCGATAGTAAGAGTTCTGTCTGATACTATAAGATAAATTTGTATAACAATAATAATCTACTAGAAGGCGAGTATGATAAAAAGCCGGCTCCTCGCAGGAGGACGTTTTACTCCAGAAGCAGAATTTACCATTTTTAAGATCAAGCCTAAATTATCAGCACTTGTAGTCTTTCCACGACCAGTTTCTCTGTTAGCGTATTAGTCAGAATGAGCCCTAGTGTTAATTTGGATCAATTTTTTGTTTACCTTTTTCATTATCAGATAAGGGATAATAAAAATGGCTCAGGGAATTGATCTTTAATCCCCGACCAACTTGACAGGTTTTATCTGATTACCTTGTTTCGCATCTGAAACATTTTGAGAAATTTATGCTTAAAAATCGGATGTCCGCGTTCGAGGAACGAAGCCATGAAGTGGTGGGGTCCATCAGTGAGATACATGCTATATAAAATTCTTTGCGAGAAGAATAAGAACGAGGCTCTAAACAGAGCGGTTTTTTTGACGATATCCTGCCAGGCCACTCGAACAAGGCCCCCCTAGAACGGATCGATTATCTTCGATTAAGCTGCCACCTTGACATATTTAACACTGGCCTTTGGATATAAAGCTATGCGGTGTGGCACACCGCATAGAAAGAACGACACTTTAATGGTGTCTTAAATCAATTCCCATTTGCGGGTTGAGGTCTCATAGTGGATTTACTGTGTGCTTTCGACAGATAGAAAAGCTATCATTAATAAAAAATTTCAAGCGAAGAATGACACCATGTTATAGCCCCCAAACTGCGATGAGTAGATGAGGTGCGCTGTTTTGCCATGTGATAAGTGCAGCAATCCCTAAAGACTATGTGCAGAATATGAGCTTGCTGAAGTCAATTCAATACACAGGACACATAAATTCCCACGTTCCTAATAGACTGCGTCACAGGTTAGCGCGACAGGCCTTTTTTTAAATGTTGTCGACTATGTAAGAGGCAGTTGGGATTATGCTAAGTTAGAAGCAAAGCTATACATCCGTGATGCTTTAAAAAAAGTTGAAAAAAGCAAGTGTGAAGTTATTTTAATATAGTTGGGCATCGTTGAAGTTGTCGGCTACAAATGCGGCAAGAGTGAACATACGATGACTTAATTCTATGGTCAAGAACGTTAGCCTAAAAGCGGCTGGAAAGAAACTTCTGAACCTAACAAAGTGTCAAGTAACGACGTGCAAGAAGTTTGATTTCTGAATCGAGCACAAAACATCTCGGTAAATTTATGAGCGTAGTAGGGCCGGGATGCCCTAGTGACGCAGAATTTGAGACTAACTAACGCTCAGAAATATCTATAACGAATGGTTTTTGCATTCTTTAAGGTATTAAACGAATGTATTTCAAACGTGATGGTCTATAGTTCTCGAGTGCGAGGCTATGGACAGGTGATTATGCTTATCCTGGATGAAAGTGCATAACAGAAGTTCGCAAGCTCCGTGGCATCAAACATA